TTCTTCGTTCTCTTGGGTGTCGACATCCAGAGCAGCAGTTCTGGTCCCATGTTTGGGTGTCGCATGAAATTCTAGTGTGCTCATTCTGGGTATCTCCTTTCTTGGTTTGTAAAAGTTCTCAACACATATTCCAAATCATCATCATCATCATCATCTTTTCTCTAATAATAGTAATTATCTTCTGTCGCTGTTCCTGAGAGGCGGTGACCCGAGGTCCCTAGGTGCATTCAGGGCTAATCACCATCTCCTCAGGCAGGTGACAGTGACAGAATAATGAAGGAACGGAGGCCACCAGGCTGGTTGGTAATCAGTGGCCGCTTATTCAGGTCTCACAGTGTTAGTTATTGAGAAATCATGAAGGGTTAGGGGTAGCAGTTACACAAAGATGAGGTTGAATATTATCATAAACAATTAACAGATAAAAGTTTCTTCCTTCAGGGGAAGTTCTTCTAGGAGGACCACCCAAAGACAGAATCTCATCTCAGTGCTCAGCACTCTAGAGTCCTGCTAGGAAATCTGCTCAGGAATTCCACCTAAGGGCGTATTGCTTTCTCCTTTCTTTAGCCAGTATCCATTTAAACAATCCTCTTAAATTTACTTCTTAATAGCATTTATAGTCATTTTGTATGGACACAGTAAGAGATATAGTAAGCTCAAAGGGTGGCTCTTCCTGGGGATGTCTTGCCATATATCCCAGACTACAGTCCTCAGCCAAGTTAGTCTTTCCTAACCCAGCAGAGTCCTTATTTAAGAGTTACTTCTTTTTGCATCATGACAGAGTTTGTTCCATGACCGTGCTTTTAACATACTTTATGGCACTTCACCTGTCCCTTTTCAATGCCAGCATAGCTTATGACTTGCCCTGGGTCCATCCAGGTCCCTCACCAGGACCCTCCTTCTGGAATCTTAGGAACTAAAGGCAACTGAGTCTTAAATAAATATGAAGGATGCCCAGGAGTAAATATTATTTGGAGTCAATTAACTCCCAGGTTACAAAAGCATAGCACTGTCTTCCTGTGTCTATACAAAAAGGACCTTGCTCTAAAATAAATTATGCAAAGGACATAAAGGAAAGAGAAAAGCAGTATTTCACGTACATATACAAAATCCAGAACCCTCAGAATAATCTGACTTTACAAATTACAGGGTCTCATTTGGGGATATTAGTGATTAACAGATAGGGGAAGAAGAGTACAAAGGAGAGATTAAAGATAAAAACAGGATTGAGAATAGTGCCTGATGGAATTGGATGTGCCTCGGGAGCACTGTGTGGGAGTAACTAAACCTAAGCTCCCTGTGGGGGAGGGGAAAGGACAAACCAATGTTATTTCTAAAAGTGCTTAGAACTGTTATCCAACAATCTTCCTTTTTCTCTTTAAAAAATTTTTTTCAAACAATTTTATTGAAATGTGCCGAGTTCATGGGCAGCACAAATGTATGAACAGGGAGGTAAAACTCAGATGTACAGTAATTCCCCAAAAGTAAAGGTTAATCTTGGGAGATATCAGTTCTCCTCCTTTCCCCCTCCAGATTTTAAGCATTTCCATTATCATTAAAAACCTGTACTCACCTAGCACTGAAATAAAGGAATAAGGAACTTTTACAAAAAGGAAGAAAACAAAAGCTTACAGGAAAAGCACTGTTTCCTGCTCAGATGGGACTTGTTCCTAGGCACCCAGTTAGGTGCCTAGGATGCCTCGTGGTGGAGACACAGAGTTTATGAATGTTTGGGTGTGGGCCATTTGGGTTTTCCACTGGCTGATGGCTCAGGAAGTCCAACATTTCCAGGGCATCGCTCTCATCCATCCAGCAGCCCAGAGTTGCTGCATTCTCTTTTGCCGGATTCTCCTCCCAGCTCACTGCAGATCTCTGGTTCTTGTCAGTCACCCCAAGGGGACACTGAAGAGGTGCAGCACATCGCTGGGTGCTGGATCAGTTCTTGGCTGCCTGCTCTGGAGTGAAGAACCCAAGGTGTCTGGACTTGCTGAAGCCTTTGTGAGGGCAGGAATCATCTTCCAGCCTGTACGACTGGCCACACACTGTGGCAGGCTGCTTGGAGATTCAGACATTCAATTTATGGCTGCACATGTAATTGTTGTCAGGGTGGGTGGTTGTCTGGCTGCTATGGCAGCCTCAGGCCTGCTTTTCATGAATTTGACCTCCACATTGCCACACTAGCAGAAGACCTTAAAGACTTGATCACAGTTTCTCTCAGACTGATCACAGTTTCTCTCAGACTGATCATGCAGTAAACCATGAACACAGGGCTGTTGCATAAGCGCCATATTTAGGGGGTGTGGAGGGTGGTCAGCGCCAGGTTCCACCCTTCATATTGCGGTGGGAACCGCTAGTCCTCCTAAGAATGCCTATGGGCCCTCCATATTCTCAAAGGGCTCTACCGGGAGAGGGAGCTGTCTTCTGTGTTAGGGTTGCTTCCTGGGTCACCTTGTCCACTGAGGTTGGGATCAGTGTAGCCCCAACTATCCTGATAGCTCTTGAACAAGTTGAAGTGTTCCAACATGGTCTACTTGAGCTTGAGTCCGACAGCCTGATTGGTGTCTGCCCCATTGACGAGAACTTGGTTCCAGGGCACTGCACGGGCTCAGACTGCCCTGTGGCCTGGACTCCTTCCTTCAGAGAATGACAGTTCTCTGGGCCACAGGGCCACAACAGTATATCAAACACCTTCAAATGGAATAGATGGGGTTCAAGATGGGAAAGAGAAGCACACTGGAGAACCCTAGGAGTCATCTGGGTGCCCAGGACAGAGATCTGACTGGGCGGCAGCCAGCAATGTTCGTCTGGTTGTTCACTGGGCAGTTCACAGCATTGTGAGCCCCCAACATAACATCTTCATGCCCCCAAAACATGTCTCTGGGTGTCACTACCACAGAGCCGATGGCTGCAGATTCCTCCAGACCTCTACCAGGTCAGCTTCTACCACACCATCATTCGGGCCCCTGACATGGTCACTTGGGGAGGTGGGAGTTGTGCAAGTCATCATAGTTCTCACTGCCTCCACTGCTTGCCGCCACCAGCATGTTTGTTGCCTGGTCACTGGCACTGTCCCCTTGAGCTGCTTAGGACTCAAGTGCCCTCACTCTGCCACCCCACTGTTGTTTTCCACCGTCACCCTCAGCCACCTCCTTTGCTCCAGCCACTGATGCAGCTTCTCTCTCCTTTCTCTTCTGAGCCTGCTCTGATGTGAATGTAGCTCTGTGATGATCTGTTCAGCTTTGGGGGTATCTTCGGGTTTAGAAACTTGTCATGGGGGCTGGAGTGATAGTACAGTGGGGTAGGTGTTTGCCTTGCATGCAGCAGACCCGGGTTTGATCCCTAGCATCCAGTATGGTCCCCTGAGCACCTCCAGGAGTAATTCTGAGTGTAGAGCCAGGAGTAACCCCTGAGCATTTCTGGGTGTGACCCCTACTCCCACCCCCCAAAAAAAGAAATTAAAAAAAACTTGTCATGGACTTGTCTACTCTAGAGAAGCCCATGTTCTTGAACACCCCTCCTTGCTTTTCTCCCTCTTTCCCTCTCTCTCTCTCTCTCTCTCTCTCTCTCTTTCTCTCTCCCCCCTCCTTTTTCTCTTATCACCCTTATCTAAAAGATTTCTTTCAATAAAAACTACTTAGAGCTGGAGAGATAGTGTAGTGGGTAGGGCACTAGCCTTGCTTGCATATTACCTGAGCACTGCCAGGTGTGACCTTACAATAATCCCACATTTTGGTGGTGGAGAATGTGTACTGTGGAGGGATGGGTGTTCAATCATTGTATGACTGAAACTCAAATATGAAAGCTTTGTTAACTGTATCTCATGGTGATTCAATTAAAAAAATCCCAAAATAAAAAGATTTGTGTCATGAACAGGGAGATAGCTCAGGGGCCCGAAGGAACCTGGTTCTGGTCCCTCATGCCTCACGCCTCCTTCACCAGAAATAATAAGAGTAATTTGGGGGTCCCCGAGCACCCTGGGGTGAACTAGGTGCACTCCAGCACTGCTGAGTCTATGCTGCAGTTTGAGCCATGTGGGCTGATTGCTGACATTCACTGTGCCTCAGACCCTTTCCATTTTTGATGGTTCTGCCTTATTTTGAGGTCACAGATTTCTGATGTGTTATTTTGTTTTTGGTGGTTTGGTGCTGTGGCTCAGTCATGTTAGATTTTCCCACATATTAGCTCTTTCGAGCTTTCTTTCATGATTTTTTGTTTCATTGAGCATCATTGGTATTGTGGCATATAAAGGAAATTGTGGTCTATAAAACCAGGAAGTTGGCTTGGCTCCAATAATGTCCTTGAGATTATTCTCTGGCTCTGATCTTCATCCATCAGAATGGAGAGCCTGTCTGAATTGTTTGGTGCTTTGGGAAGATCTGAGACAAGGTCATGGAGGGGACTTGGCGTCCAGGGTGGCAGTCAGTGGCCTCTGGGATTCCTGGTTGTCTAGCAGTGATTGTGTCACTAAGGTCACGTAGGATCTTGCTGGGACTCTAGAGTCTGGAGGCAGCTGTGTTGTCTCTATCAAGGGGGCCTGGCAGTGGCTCTGGGCATAAGCAAATCTAGCACCTGCAAGTCTCCAAGGAACACGGCAACAGCTACAGCACTGAGATGACACCCACTGAAATGAAATGGTGCATGGTCACAGGCGCTTGGTCCAGCTTGGGGCAGCAAACACAGCCTGGGTTGCAAGCAAAGGTTTAGTATTGTGGGCACTGGGGCTATGTGTGTTCCAGTTTTCAGTAGACCAGGTCAACCGTCAGGAGTGTGTGCTCACAAGAACACAGGGCCTACCTCCTTGTTGAGCCCAAATATACCCTATAGAGTGCTGTTTCACAAGTGCCTGATAGCTAGAAGGTCACCACAGCTGCACAGATTGGGCAGTGCCTAGGGAAGCTGTCCCAGAGTCTGTCCTCCTTGAGTAGAGACCACGACCTCAAGTGTCAAGCATGCCCCTGGGGCTCCCATGCTAGAGACCTGATAAATCTTCTTTTCAATTTTAGAAACCATTGACATTCAGGGATGTGGCTATAGAGTTCTCTCTGGAGGAGTGGGAATGCCTGGACCAGTCCCAGCAAGATTTGTACAGGGATGTGATGTTAGAGAACTATGGACACCTGGTTTCCTTGGGTGAGGAAAACTTTCTTCCAGAATCCCTAATTCCACCCTTCTACTACTCTTAATCTGTGGACAGTTTCTGGGTGCTTCTTTATGTATTAAAATAGGTCCTTGCTTTAGAGTAAACAATCGGGGGTTGTGGGTACAGAAGAGAAAGCTTTCGTAAGTGCCATGGTGAATTGGATTTTTCCCTTAGTGGCGATTTTAGGAAATCCATGACATGTAAGCATTGATCTCCGTAACTCAAATACAGATTACAACTTTTTCTTTTGATTCAGTGGTACTTGAGAGTGAAACTCAGAACTCAATATTGTAAATACAAATGTAGTAAAGGTACACTCAGAAAAAAAACTGTATCTTGGTAAATACGTTTCTAAAATATACCATATTCTCTCATCTGTTCTGGCACCTCAGTATATTGAAATGTAAGAACCTGAAAGTAAAATAATTCCCTTTTCTGGGAGCCAGAGCAATATGTCCAGGGAATACGGTGCCTGCCATGCATTTGGCTGACCTCTGCTCCATCCCCAGAAAACATGGTCCCCTGGTACCGCCAGGACTGGCCCCCCCTCCCTACACACACACACACACACACACACACACACACACACACACACACACAAAGTTTAGTTCCTCAGCTCTGCTGGATGTGGCCCCGGAAACCTCAAAATAGAGAAATGCACATAAAAACAATTTTCCCTTTTCTAATAAACAGGTCTCAGTGTATCTAAGCCATACCTGATCACCTTACTGGAACAAAATCAGGAGCCCTGGAACTCTCAGAGAGAGAAGGTGGCCAGACACCCAGGTAGGTGGGACTGAGTAAAGCACTATGTGACAGACCAAGGTGGAACAGGAAACCAGAACTTTGAAGTACAGTTCGGAATTTCCTCAGTGGAAGAGCTTTGTGAAATTCCGAATTTCTCCTCAGTTACTGATCTTGCTGAGACTTTAGGGTTCCTGAGCAGCCTCTCTTCTCCTCCCATCATGTCCGGACCCTCCTTGCTCCAGTGACCTTCTGTTACATCCCAGTGAGGATCGAAGTTCTCTCTTGAACGCCTGTTCTCCATGACCTATCTGCTTACCCGTTGCCTTTGAGGCTTGAGAAGATGTGTCCATTCTAATGGATTATGCACCAAGGTGTTTCCGGGGCTGTTCTCGCACGACCTCAGAATGTGGGAAGGGAATGGTGGAGATAGAGGTTTGGTGCAGAAATCCCTAAAACACTGGAGGTGAACCCACATATTCATCACCATAGAATTTCCAGTTCTATGTGTACTTTAAATTGATTCCATTTTATTCATTTATATATATATATATAGGGGAGTAGGGCGTGGGCCATGCTGTGCTCAGGGCTTCCTTCTGACTCTGCTCAGGGATCACTCCTGGCAGTGCTTGGGGACTGTATGTGGTGCTGAGGTGGGGGAGTTGAGTGCCAGGCTAGTGGGTGTCTGGACCTTGGTTGTCTGTATGCAGGGAAGCACTGTAGCCCCTGTACAATTCTCCCAGCCCCAGTTCTATGAAGACTAAACATGTCTCCACAGTGCCAGGTTTAGTGGTTTCGTAATAGTATAAAGCATCTCATTAAATGAGAAAATACAAACTGTGTGTCTTAAAATCTTGTCATTTATATATACTAATGCTATATATGTAGTTTTGCTTTGGGGGGGGGGCCACGCTTGGCAGTGCTCAGGGCTTACTCCTGGCTCTGTGCTCAGGATCACTCCTGGTGGGCTTGGAGGACCATATAGGTTGTTGGGGATCACACTCTGGTTGGCCACGTGAAAGGAAAGCAAGTATCTTGCTCATTGCACTAACAGTAAAGATTTTAAATTTTATGCTGCTACTTCTTAAAGGGTAAAGGAGTTAAATATTTCTTCACCTCTTTTGGTTGACTAAAAATGAACTCTAAGGTGATGGACGTCGAGGGTTTTTTCTGGGCAGTACAATGTGAGAGTCCCAAGATGCGGTGCTCCGAGAGCCCTTTGGGATTAGCCAGAGCAGTCTGTTGGTGTTTGGAGGCCTTCCTGGGTGATTTTGTGATACCAAGACCCAACTGGGGTCAGCCATCTATAAGGCACATGCCTTAACCCCCATAAATCTTTCTTTTATCTATAATATCATTCATAGAATTTTCTTGACGAATAGTTTTATGTATTTTTGCTTGAAATTTTTTTGTTATATTTAAAATAATATCCACTTTTCCCTACAAAGTTGTTGCTGAGCACCTTGTTGATAATATTACAGACACTTTCTTTCATGAGATTAATTGCATTTCTATTATTTCATTCTCCTTTTTGCTTGTGTCTGTTTTGACATACTCACTTTCAATCCATTGCATTTTTAAATATATATATATTTATTTCTTTACATGTGAGATGCTTAATCAAACCATTTGAGTTTTCTTTTTCCTATTTTTCTTGCCTCTTTATGTAGGTATTTATTTATTATATGTATAACTATATATGTTGCCCTACTTTTTGTGTCTTTGATCTTTTTTGGTGTTTTTCAAATTTCCCCTGTAGTTGTTTTACTCCACTAACTGCTTGTATTATCCTCACATTTTCTACTTCTGCTTTCTCTTATCATTTACCCTTTGTAAAATTTTAAAAAATCATTTATTCTTCATCACCCTGTTTTTATTTTATAATTTTTATATTTTCTGTTTCACTAATAATCTTATACTAACCATGCATAATTCTTTTATTTTTGTTCACATCATCTTTATTTTCACCTCATTCAAAATCTTCAAAATAATCTTCAGATATTTGTCATGTCATGTGTTTATGGTTCTATGTGTTGTAATTGTAATAATGAGTGTTTTTTTCCATTTAGCCATGATGTTATGTTTCTTTGTAAGAGTTTTATATTTATTTCCAACTGTTGAATCTGCCCTTGCCCACATGTGAAGTGGGTGGGCAGAGGTTGAATCTGCCTGGGTCTACTACCAGCTGTAGATCCAGTATCGTGTTTGTTTTTGAACTTTTATGAACACTTGAGAATTTTAAGAGCAGACCTGTTTTCCACTCCCAAGCCTTCTTTTATAGTACAGCAATGGCAGTCAATATTCTGTGTCCTCACAATGCATTTCAGGAATGTTTCTGTATTTCAGAGGTTAGGTACTGACCAGTATCCTTTTTCTGAGCAGAGACTTACCTCCTTGTTGGCTTGTTTTAGCACTGCACAGTCTCTAGTGTTTGAAGAAAGGCTCAGTATTAATCTCAGTGGCTATACATCTGTGATATATTTTCATCTTTTATATTGATGTTTGTCATGCAAAATAGATCTGAGTCTGTTAATTAAGTGCCCAGAAATTCAGGTCCCTGAACACAAAAACCACTCTAACTTTTTGTCCTGAAAGAAAACTAAATTGTGCATTCTCTTTTTCTTTTCTTTTCTTTTTTTTTTTTTTTTTGGTGGGGAGGGATTTGGGTCACACTTGGCGATACTCAGGGTTTACTCCTGACTCTGGGTTCAGGAATTGCTCCTGGAGGTGATCCGGGGACCATATGGGATGCTGGAAATCAAATAAATCTGGTACGGTTGTAAGGCAAGCACCCTGCCCTGGGTTAGACATTTTCTCACAGTTGTGCAGTGGTGTTGTAGGGAAGAGTGAGCAGGTATAAGTAAGGGGCAAACGTGGCACATTTTCCCCCTACTCTGTTTCATTCAGTTCTTCCCTAAAGTTTTTCTCTCCTAGCTGGCATCTAGTCATTTCACAATGTTTTTTCAGTAATTGTTAATGTGATGTCTCTCAGAAGCGTGGAATTTTATTGTTGTAGTAAACTATACTGCTCTCAGTACTTAACTTTTTCCCCTTGTCTTTGCTTTTTCTTTTTCTGAGTTTTGGGCCACAGCTGGCTCTTACTCAGGGATCACTCCTGGTGGGGCTTAGGGGATCATATGTGGTGCTGGTGATCAGGCCCAGGTTGGCTGTATACATGTAGCGAGATGCTCTCCCACTTTATAATCAATCTGGCCCCAGTATTTAGTTCTACATGTGATTTCACAGCTTATGAAGCAATAGTGTTGTGAGTGACACAGTCTGATGTTTTTCTGTTTTGTTTCCATAGGTATTTCTTACAACACCCAGAGCCTGTCTGACACTGACAGTTCACTCCCCAAAGGACTATTGAGAAAATTTGGAAGTCCTAAAAACTTATGCTTAGTGAAAGACTGGAAATGTGAAGTGGGTAATGAATGGCAAATTGGACGTTATGATGGACATAACAAAATTGGGACAGTTACCACCAGAAATGATTCAGTATATAATTCCTCTTGGAAAGAACCAGATGTAAGTGCAGTTGTTTCAGTAGAGAAATCTGTTTCTGTAAACAAAAACCCTGATGACTCTTTTAAACATTCATGTTTTCTGAAAAAAAAATTGGAATGTCTGCAAAGTCAGCTGGTGCATTCTGTGTATAAGCATTCAAACTATCATAAATACGGGATTGCATTAAACATTAATTATGATGTTTCTGAGCATCATAATTCCAGAAATGAAGAAAAAACTTTTATGTATGATCAAATTGGAAAATCTTCAAAATTTATTCTACATCAAAATATAAATCAAAGAGTTTATACTAGAGAGAAACCTTATAAATGCAAACACTGTGGAAAAACCTTTCACCAGAGATCACATCTCAATCAGCATCTGAGATTTCATATTGGAGTTAAGTCTCACCAATGCAAAGAAGCTAGCAAAGCCTTTATATCCTGTTTTCAACTTTCTGTGCATCAGAGAATACATACTGGAGAGAAAAGTTGCAGAACTGAAGAATGTGGGAAACCCTTTCATTGGCATTCACACCTGACTCAGCACCAGAAAACCCATTCTGGGGAGAAAATTTACAAATGTGAACAATGTGGCAAAGCCTTTAATCAGCACTCATATTTGACTCAGCACTGGAGAACTCATTCCGGGGAGAAACCTTGCAGATGTGAAGAATGTGGCAAAGCTTTTAAACGCCATTCATCACTTATTCAACATCAGAGAATTCACTCTGGGGAGAAACCTTACAAGTGTGAAGAATGTGGCAAAGCCTTTAATCATTCAGATATTACTCGACATAAGAGAATTCATTCTGGGGAGAAACCTTACAAATGTGAAGAGTGTGGGAAAGCCTTCAATCAGCATTCACACCTGACACAGCACCAGAGAATTCATTCTGGGGAGAAGCTTTACAAATGTGAGGAATGTGGCAAAGCCTTCAATCAACGGTCCCATGTTACTCAGCACCAGAGGATTCATTCAGGGGAGAAACCTTACAAATGTGAGGAATGTGGCAAAGCCTTTAATCAGTATTCAAATTATATGCAGCATCAGAGAATTCATTCTGGGGAGAAACTTTACAAATGTGAAGAATGTGGCAAGGCCTTTAATCAGCATTCGTCTCTTACTCGACATCAAAGAATTCATCTAGGGGAGAAACCATACAAATGTGAAGAATGTGGGAAAGCTTTTAATCAAAGTTCGGATCTGACTCGACATCAGAGAATTCATTCTGGGGAGAAACCTTACAAATGTGAAGAGTGTGGCAAAGCCTTCAATCAGCATTCACACCTGACTCAGCACCAGAGAATTCATTTAGGCGAGAAGCCTTATAAATGTGAAGAATGTGGCAAAGCCTTCAATCAAAGCTCAGATCTGAACCGACATCAGAGAATTCATTCTGGTCAGAAACCTTACAAATGAAAAGAAAGAGGCAAAACCTTCATTTGACATTCACATGTTAACTGAGATAATTGATTCTAGTGAGGACCCCAGGCTGGAGCGATAGCACAGCGGTAGGGCGTTTGCCTTACAAGCGGCCAACATGGCC